GATTCACATTAGTTACAAAAATAATTACCGACCTATGTATACATTAGTATTATGGATACTTTCAGATAAGCAGTTTTTTAATTTTATGGCGAATTCTTATATTAATTTTAAATATACAACGCATTTATATGAATAAGCTTGGACGAGTTGCGTAGTGTTTTGCATGTACGTTGAATTAATTCCATTTCAAAAAATTTGAGATTACAAAAAGTGTACCTCTCAGTTTCAGATTTTAATCAGAGCTATAACGATTCCATTAAATTATGTTAAGGAGACTTCTACGAATTTCTATCACAGAGCCGTCTATCGTAATTCCCTTACTTTAGTTTTGCACTCAGAAAAACAGTGTGCATCGAACTATACAAATATTATTTATGTGAACAAAACACAACAGAACTAGTCCAATATTATTGTTCGTAATATTGATTTTGTATTTTAAATATATATATATATATATGAGGTTACACATTATTTATCATACACGTTAAAGATATTAGATCAGATCAGATTTTATTAGTTATTGTCATTGGATATCAATTAGATTCAGAAAATGTTAGGTAAAATATATATTTTTATTAGAACGTTTTCTATCCACATTTATTGTTTATGGATTTTGTTTTAGGTACTATAATTAAGTTGTAAGCAATATTTGTAAGTAAAAATCAATGAAAGATGGTTAAGGCACCGGATTATGATGAAAATGGAAGAGGTGTGTTCCAAAAAAAACACTGAAAATTTAAAAAATAAACTAACTGAAGATATCTTTCATCACATACGTAGTAGTTGGAATGCATACATTCATTAAACACAATCCATTTTCAAGAACCAAAAAGGCAAAGGAAAAATAAAAGAACGAAAATGAAAAAAAAAATGTTTACTGTAAACTAAATGTTCTATTAAGCGCTTATACAATAAAGTAAAACCGTAGAACGTACATCTTTGATCTAGACTGTCGTTGTATAGATAATATTTGGTTTCTAGATTGATTTTTACATAGGGTGAATGATGTCACTGAACCCTCCATAGCTTTTAACAAAGTACGCTTAATCGAAACAGAGCGCGAAACAGTTCGATTGATAATAATTAAAATTATTTTCAGAATATGGAAATAACAGGGTAGTTGACCACTCGGTTGAAAGTCACTAGTTTCTTTGTTATATAACTAGTAAAATAATGAAATCACTTATTAACTTCTATTGTCTTTTCCTTGTCTATAATATTGTTACATGTTTTCAAACAATAAATTTAAAAATTTAGCCAAATCCTTAACAGGACGGATTTCAATAAATAACTTATTGCTATTACAGAAAGGAAAGAGTGAGAAATAAATTTGCCAAACGCACCACCAGCTTTAAAGCCATAGTAAGTGTGTAAAATACAATAAATAACAATAATTTGCATCATTATAATATAATCTACACATTTAATAAAAATATCATTATGAGTGTACAAAACTAATATAATGCCCCATTTATGTGTTGACATTAATCACTTTGCATTTTCCCTAATGAATAAAAGAAACAAATAAAATATTTTGTTTTTCTCTAATGGTGCAAATAGCATCGTGTTGTATGTATACACTGGTCACATAATATGTAACAATAAATAGAAGCAAATTTTGTCGTTAAGTATGTCATAGTCAGTAGAAACAGAAAAAAAGACGAATATTTCACATACATTAACTTAAAAACAGTGTTAGTGCTTTCAGTCTGTCAATCCTGTATTTCTTAGATCAATTCACATTAAATATTTTGCAACATAAAGGATATTCCCTATTCAATTTTAATCATCCTCATAATTTATCTCCTTTGTGAATATTTTATTAAAACAAACATACTAAATGTCCTATTATATTATTTGATAGCTGTATATTTGGTAGATATATATGTACAATTTTAATGCAAATTGATCAGTGTTAGAAAACTGTTAGTATTATCTATCTAATCCTAAAAATCATTATAGACTTGAAAAACACAATCATTAATCATTACCCATATTATAATAATTAAAAGAAATAAATATGTAGAATTATATATGAGTCAAATGCGAATCAGGTAGATTATACCCATATATCTCAAACATTTTGTACTAGGCAATATTACATTTTATAATAATATATTATATAATAATAATACACAAACTTCAACAGTATGTATAACTTTACAGATATACCTACAAACAAGTATGGTTCTTTACATAACATTCAATCGAAAAAAAGATACATTATGACAAACCTTAATAATAAAATTTAAATGCATACTATACTAGTCAATATACTTTATATGATTGTGCAACAAAATACAAGCTAAATAAAGATTATGTTAATACATATATTTAAGTATAGACTCATATGTCAATATATAAGTTGCATAATAAGATAGAATGGCGAAATAGCAATTGTTGATTTGGTTAAATTCCAAATTCACATATAACTTTTCCCTCTTTAAAACATAATAGTAACTATAACTTGTGCATAAAGCTTAATCTCCAATGATCCTCCTAATCTTTAATTAAATACACTCTTTCAAATAAGGGTACATCAGTGTATAGCAATTTATATAAATTCCTGCTCTCTCAATTTTATAGTTACTGATGATCCACAGGGGTCCGATAATCACGGTCTTACTACATATCTGGACGATCAAGGTCTTAATACATATCTGGATAAAATTTCAAAATATCGGACAACTACAAGTATTTGGTCTAGTGGAAATCGCACCCCCTCCCCACGCCAAACGACTAAATAATTATTGAGATACAGGGTAAACGATAGGTGTATTGACATGTTTGTTTCGGAAGTAAGGAGACTATATAACATGTCAGAAGAATCCAGGCCATTCCCTACCTTGTAGCAACCCTAGGGGAAAAATTAAAAAAAAAGTTGCTTAAAACGTGATTAATGGACGACCCTCTACCTCATAATAAGCTGTGTAAAGATCACTAATATGAATGTATTTTAATGGATATCTCAGAAAGAAAGAAAAATTAAAACAATGCAAAATATCTTAAAGTGTAAAAGATTACTATTGCTGATATCCCATCTAGGACTGACAATGTTGGCTTTAAAGAAATAGCATTATTAATCAGAAATACTTGTACACTTTAACCACAGCTTATTATTGTATAAAAGTCACAGCTCATTAGAGCCACCCGGCACCGCATCGTCGCGCCGCGACGAGCGAACGCCGCGTAGTTGAATCCGCGTTTTCAGTGAAAATTAAGTAGCGTGTTAGAGATCTTCACTAGGTTTACACGCGTGTTTTCAGAATGTTAAATTTTACAAACCCTGAATTAGCTGTAATAGCTGTCGCACTTACTGAAGAAGAAAATTAAATGCATTGTCAACTATCAGGCCGCGCGCATTTGATTAACATGCAGGACCGGCGAACACGTAGTATCTCGCCGTCTAGTTGCAGTCGCCTGACTCGGCCACCGGACGCGCATACATAGCAACTCCCGACCTGCCTAGTTGTTTTTCCCGCTCATCGCAGACTCAAGTCGTGTCGCCTCAGCGTGGCGCACCTCAGGAGCAGCGCGTTTACAACCAGCGTGCAGCGGCAAGTACAGAGCCAGCGTGCGAGCAGCGGGTGATCCCCAAGTTTGCCACCCACCGCCCACGCGCGGGCAGCTAGCGAGCGGGGCGATCCGGTGACAGTATGGAGTCAATGTAGGGTGTATTCCGAAATATACACCGGTACGCAGGCCCGCGGTAATGACGTCATGAATCGACGCCATGCTCTTGATTCGTTCCAAATACACTGATCAGCGCGGTGACGTCATGAACTGACGCTATATTCAAGCAGTCTCGTGTTTGTGTGCAACGTTCATGCTCCAAATTATAATAAAATTAAATTAAATTTTTATTTAATGAACTTCACTAACTACAGAGCGTATACCCCGTCTAATAAATAATTACGTCACAGTATTCTTACCAGCATAATATGGCGGAACACCAGTGCAATATGGCGTCAAAATCATGACGTCATTACCACTGGCCAGCGTACTGGTGTATATTTCGGAATGCACCCGTAGCGAGCGCATACCCATAGAAATCCATACAAAGAATACCAACCGCAAAGGTTGAGGCGGTGCTGGTCAGGTGGGTCTAATGAGTTGTGACCTAAATAATTTTAAAAATCTCACAGCAACATGGCAAGATCGTCAAACTTATATAATCACTATTAATTGTATGACCATACCTAGTCAAGTCATAGATTTAATCAGACATCTTAGTTTTATTCAGAACCACATGTTATGCACCATTTACCCAACATACTGAGTATTATTATATATTCTCATTTACAATTTACAAGCTGCAGCAGTGTAAGGTGATATAGAGAGTTCACTAAAATGTAACACAGTTAATATAATTTATCCTAAAATTGCTGATTAGCTACTTATCCATTCTTAATTTACAACTTCATCCAATTCTAAACCTCTACTTTAAAATCTCAGATATATAATTTAGTCTAAGCCTCTAGGTATTCTTTATAATAGTCATTTAGGGCTAATAAAGATTATGTTTCCGAAATAGAAAACTTTTTCAAGTGATGATTTGTGTGTGTAAGATCCAATAGAATATTTCGGAAGACAGATGGAGACTATACTTAACACCATCTATCTATTATTCACTAAGAATGAGGAGAAACAGGTGCAATATTTCGAGTTTTCAAATATTTACAACTCTTTCATGCATCTCACAACTCAAACAATTAAGCTCATTCTGCCTCATCTTCAATCAAGTAACCAACATTAGCCCAGCTCCTATTACATACACGCCTCTCAACACTTTACACTGCATTGGTGAAAAATTACATTTTATTCACACTATCAAAAGGTCCGAATTGGAATCTTCTAACACTTGAATTATCTCTTTCAAAAGAATTACCTTCATTTTATTTTACTATTTTAACATATAGCTCTACACTATTAACTTGTTAACAGTGTTTTAGTACAAGAGATTTAAAATTACTTTTAAAATTTTTATTAGGTATACCAAAGCCCAGATTTTCTCTTGAATGTAAAAAAAACTACTTAAGTGACTCGATTCTGGTATCATAAGCACTGCAGCACATAACTTTAATTTTATATTCACCATTTTTATGTCACTTTCACAAAATTACGAGTACCTATTTATTTGGAACTTCACACAAGTTTTGAGTGTTGCATCCATTGTTATATCGATGCCTCGTCTAAGACACGGGTCAAAAGGCAGCGAGTATGTTCCACAGCGCTCGCAGTCGCGCCAGCAGGGGCTAGGGGGACGGTAGAGTGACCAGGGCTGGCCCCAAACGGGTGAATAGTAACCCACTCATGATGCCGGTTACTAGAGTGGCGGCGCCTATCATGCCGGCTGTGGCAGCGTGTTCTGGAGCTACGGTGCTGGAAAATTACGATGAAATTAAAATATGTAATGTTTTATATGAAGTACAAGTGTTGTATCTCTGGTTTATTGATGACTCGTCTAAGGCACAGGTCAGTAGGCGGCGAGATTGTTCCATAGCGCTCTCAGTCACGCCAGGGGAGCGACGGAGAAACCACGTATGATATCCGCTTACCATCAGGCGTGTACATCAGGGATGTTACGCATATATGCATTTACATCTTCTTTTTTCTTTATTCATGCCATTACAAAAAGGAGTAGCTCGATTGCGCAGGTGGTTAGCGTGTTCAGCCTGCGATCGTGGAAGTTAAACATCTTTCGCAATGGTCGGTCATTAAATGGGTGACAAAAACCTTATTATCTCGAGCTCCTCCGTGTTTCGGAAGGCACGTTAAGCCGTTCGCCTCGGCTGATTCTGCGGTTGTTAGGCTCTACGTTATCGTCTGGCATATTTTCTTCATTGGATAATATTAAGGACTCGCTTGGGCTTTGCAGTACTAGCACAGCTTCTAAGCTTCCATTCCACTGCCTCAGTGGATGAGAATGCGGTCATTTGGACGACGAATATAGCAACGCAGATCGCATGCTGCCATTTACTGCACTTATATCCGTTTTTACGAAAGAGCTGAAGAGGGACCCGCTGAAGAGCGTTTAGGTGTTACATAAAGAAATAAATGTATGCATAATTTATAAAAATCGTTTGTTTAGAAAAAGCCAATACTAAACTAACATAGGAGTACCTTTATTAAGTGACATCTGCCATGGTAAAAATGAAATTAGGTAAAAATAAATTTTATGAAAGCTCTTAGCTTAGGAGACTTCTATGTAGGTTCCCCCTGCCTGTTGATGAAAACGGGCATTAGGCCTGTATTAATACAATACTATTTTGTCTGCAAATGATCTTGATAACGATCTGTTTTGTATGAAAATAGCATCCGCGAACGAATACGGGGCACATGAGCCCAGCTTTTTTTATGCTTAGAGCATTTTATACACATCACCATAAATATGACACTAAATACAAAGCATTGAAACTATTCACTTTATAATTTCATGTCGCCGGTATTACAATAATTTACGCACAAACACGCTTAGGAAACAGCGTCGAATAAAACTTCGCACAAGCGCACTTACAAATCAGCGTCCAATTATTTTCGCACAAGCGCACTTAAACATCCTATAATTTTCGTATAAGTTCACTTAGGAATCAGCGTAATATAATTTTCGCGCGCTTGTGCGCAATTGTTTCTCAGGATACAGCTTTCCATAATTTTTGCATAAGCGCACTTAGGAAACAGAGTCCTATAATTATCGCACAAGCGTTCTTAGAAAACAGCGTCCTATAATTTTCGCAGAAACACACAGAAGTTCTTAAGTTTCTCACAAGCGCACTTAAGAATTAGCGTTCTATAATTTTCGCACAAGCGCACTTTAGGAAACAGCGTCCTATAATTTTCGCACAAGCACACTTAGAAAACAGCCAGGCCAGGCCAAGCTTTTCAGCTTATAGGGAAAGGTCGCCCTATAAGCCGAAAAGCTTGGCCTAACTAAAACTCGTTTGCAATACTTGTTAATCAAAATTAGGTAATTATATAACACAATATTATTCACAAAGAGACCATTTTCAATTGTCATCATTAAAATAATTAACATATAACATTAGTTTTAAGCTCAAATAATTCGCTAATTTACGAATAATCCGTATAATGCTTTACATCTCATTCGCATGCGATGGCTTGCAACCGGGTTTCGCTAACTTCGCGCTTGTTAGCTAAACGAAGTTAGGCCCATACGAACTCGAGACACTCGTAGCGTGTCTTTGTTTCCAGATGTAATATTTTCTATTTCGCTTCTTTTTTGCAACAAGTGGTATTTTTCGCTTTTACAAAACACCAACTGCATAATTTCTTTAAAATGAACGCATCTTTGCCTTCTTGAGTTACATATTAGACATTTTTCAAAATTTTAACTTAAGTTGACGGTTGAATTATGCTAGGTACTGGCAACAATCCCAGTATAAAAGTAAATAAAAATAAATGTTGCTCGCTCTCTCACTTCAAATTTGTTTTGGTTCTAAATGAAAAACTATTTTGGCGGTCGCGTGGTGTAGTCTGTATATTAAATACAAAGTATTTCGAATGGTTAGGACAAGAAATGCAGCAGACAGACATAGATAGACTTAGCGCTATTTGAATTTAAGCTTCGGGCTTGCCCTAAGTCGGACCACACACTCGCTACGGGAAACAGCGTTCTATAATTTTCTCACAAGCGCACTTGGGAAACAGAGTTATATTTTCACACAAGAGCACTTAGGAAACAGCTACCTATAATTATCACACAAGCGCATTTAGGAAACAGCTGCATATTATTTTCACATAAGCGCACTTGAAAACATCGTTATATAATTTTCGCACAAGAGAATTTTGAACATTCGCATCAACATTCGCAATGTTTTTTGAATTCAAGTTACTGCAAGTTATTAGAGGTTGGGGATCTCGCGCGTCACACGTGAAGCGTTTAACCAATAAGAGCTGTTTTTCAGTCGCTTGCCTTGATCGGACTGACTTCACTCACATTATTTAAACATCATCATCATCATAGTCATCATCATCATCATCATCAGTAAGGAATTTGTATGCAAGTATGGATTTTACAACTGTCGATTAAAACCACGAATTCGTTTGCAAACACGTTTGAGTTGCTCTTCACCAAATACAATTTGCCTCATTTTACATTTGTAATTAATATAATTAATAAAAGTAATAATAAACATATTCATAATAACAAATTTTGTTTTGTTTTTAACAATTTACCTGAAAATTCACATTCGCTATAGTCTAAATTTGATATTCGTAACATCCCTGTCCCTGTAGCATGAGCAACACAATTTACATTATACCACGTTTTTCATCGCGTCTAACTGTCAAACTCCATAATAATTTGTCAACTAAGCGTGATAAAACGATCTTTATATTATATCCCGGTGCTCATGCTAGTGTACATAGAAAATACTGAAGCAAAATTATAGGTATGTAATGAATTTCATTATCTTCGCCAAAGTCGAAAATATGACATTCGTAAAATCCCTGCCCCCTAGCATGAACACCGCGATATGTTCCAATATCAAATTACTATGGAGTTGAACAGTTAGACGCGATAAAAAACGTGACATAATGTACATTGTGGTACTCCTACTACGGGGACTGGTGCACATAAAAAACACAGAAGCAAAAAAGGGTACGTAATGAATTTCTATATCTTCGCTAAAGTCGAAAATATGACATTCATAACATAGTACTTATAAAACACAGAAGCAAAAAATAGATACGTCATGAATTTCTGTATCTTCTTAAAGTCGAAATATGACTTTCGTAACATCACTGTCCCTGTAGCATGAGCACCACAATTTACATTATATCACATTTTAGTAATTTGACAATTGAGCGTGATAAATAAATAATAATAATAAATATTTCCAACACACACACCAATTAGCCTAGCCCCAAAGTAAGCACTATAAGGCTTGTGTTATGGGATACTAGGGTAACGGATAGAATACATATACTGTAAATATATAAGTATATTTATATAGAAATACATATTAAACATCCATGACTGGAGTACAAATGCACGTATTCATCACAAAACACGCGTTATATATCATATCTCGGTGCTCATTCTAGGGGGTTAAGTGTACATAAACACAGAAGCAAAAAATTAGGTTCGTAACATCCCTGGCCCTCTAGTATGACCATAGAAACGGGATATGATAAAGCGATATATCGGCATCAACTGTCTGCAAACTCCATTGTAGTTGACAGTTAATGCCACTATATCGCTTATTCATAATATCCCGTTTCGGTGGTCATGCTAGAGGGGGCTGGTGTACATTAAAAACACATAAGCAAAAAAATTAGGTACGTCATGAATTTCTGAATCTTCGCTAGTCGAAATATGACTTTCGTGACATCCCTGGTGTAAATAAAAAACAAAGAAGCAAAAAATAGGTACGTCATGAATTTCTGTATCTTCGCTAGTCGAAGTATGACTTTCGTAACATCCCTGGTGTACATAAAAAACAAAGAAGCAAAAAATAGGTACGTCATGAATTTCTGTATCTTCGCTAGTCGAAATGTGACTTTCGTAACATCCCTGGTGTACATAAAAAAACAAAGGAGCAAAAAATAGGTACGTCATGAATTTCTGTATCTTCGCTAGTCGAAATATGACTTTCGTAACATCCCTGGTGTACATAAAAAGCAGAAGCACAAAAAAATGGTATATTATTAATTTCGGTATCATCGCTAAAGTCGAAATATGACCTTCGTTAAATTCCTGGTGTAGACATAAAAAAACACAGAAGCAAAAATAGGTACTTAATGCATTTCGTTATCTTCGCTCGAAAATATGTCATTGGTAACATCCCTGGTTTCATTACATTTGTTTCAATCTCACCTGCTTACATACACAATATCAAGGGAACTGTCATGGCCAGACTTAACAACGCAGCGACACCCGAACAAACCCACTCTTTGGTCACCCATATATTCCAAATCGCTTATTATATTTAGGCAGATAAGAGCTGTTATGTACGTCTTTAAAGCTACGCCATCAGTTCGCAATTAAACGGCGGGAGACCTTGTAATAAGCAGAACCGGCAAACACTTAGCTAAAGTAAGTTCCATCTATCAAGTAGGTTCTAACAATGTGTTTTTGATGTGTAACATCTTTCCTCTCGCTTTTGTGCAATTTGTGGGAGTGATTACGTGAGTGGGTAGTGTGTAACAGGAAGTTTGGGAAGCGCGCGCTATTTGATTTGATTTTAGAACATAATTTTCAAATGGCTTATTTCTTTTGTAGTAGGTTTTATTTCTTTTTTTTACTAATATAAGGTGAGGTTTCAAATGTTACACATCATACGCGACTACTGTAAGGCACGCTCGTTTTTCTTTATTAGATCAGGGATCCCTAGATCAGCATAATTTGAAAATTAGTCAATATATAAGAAAAATTGTAATACTGGTTTCAATCTCACCTGCTAACATACATCATGCCGAGCGAACTGCCATGGCCAGAGCTCCATCCTAATAAAGCGGCGACTCCCCAATAAACCCAGTCGTTGGTAACCCACACTGGCAGTGTACGGATGGTAGGCTTGTAGTTGCACATCAGGAAGAATGGGATCAGCAGAATCCGTAGTGTCGTGAACACCCATAACCACTTTTTTGACGGCTGAGGAAGAAAACATATATCGTTAGATTCTGGTAGACCTTTCAAATGTGGTCCTGTCCAATGAAAATATATAAAAAATGAAGATTTTTTATATCACCATCTAACGGGTATAATTGCAAATCTAAACGGGGACTCACTGAAATGCACAGAAAATTTAAAACTTGATGTAAAACTCAAACGAATTGAATACCTAGATAAAATATACAATTTTCGCAATGAAGGAAGATATATAATTTAAATGGATGAGTCTTGAAAAAGGTTTTGTTCCCGGAGCTTTTTTAACATAATAATCCACAGATACCACAGGTGATTACCACAAAGAGATGAATAATGAAAACTATGAGAAATGGCTGCTTAATCAATTTATACCATATATATCCAAAAACTCCGTTCTGGTTATCGACAACGCACCTTATCATAACAAATATGTAGAGACCCCCAAATTCCAACACTATAAAACAGGAAATGATAAACTGGTTAAACACCCATAACATTCCAGTTAATCCAAATTTGACGGAACCACAGTTTTACGCATTATATGTCGCCACAAGGAAAATTTTACAGAGATTTCCGTAGACAAAATACTTGCAGAACATGAGCACACTACGTTGCGATTGCGGCCATATCACCCAGATTTCAATCCTTTTTTAAATATATGGTCTCAATTAAAAGGCTATGTAGCCGCTAGAAATGTGGATATGAATTTGAATTCAGTGAAAATTTTATTGACTGAAAAAGTAAACTTGATTAGAGCGGAGGAGTGGAAAAATGTTTGTGAACACGCAATAAACTGTGAAAATGAATATCGAAGAATTGAACATTATTTAGACAATTATACTGATAGGCTGGTGATAAATACGGGCGATAGTGACAGCGATGACGACGTTGAGAGCTCACATAGTGATATGGAAGGAATTGAGAATTTAGAATCAGATTAGTAAAATGTCACTGAGAGGCTTCGCTAATAGATATTAGCTTTTGTATTTTGTTATTTGGTTGGAAATAAAAATTAAAGTTTTTCATTAAAACAAATAAATTAACATACATAGAACTTATAGAATTTATATGTTGTCTTTTACCTATATGATTTCTTTTTGTATTGATTTTTAAAAAAAACCTAAGAAAAGTTTTAGCAGCTCTTAATAGATACCAGACTGTTAGTGTTTCGTGTGACAGAATTAACGCTCTACAAAGCCGAAGGTAGCCGAAGCTAGCCGAGTATCTCTTTCTAAAGCACGATGCGACTTATAAATGGCCTGTACTGTAACTAATATTATAAATGCAAAAGTACGTTATTTTTGGTTTTTGTTACGCTTTCACGCCTAACCCGTTAAAAATATGTTACACGTGTAGTATATGACCTGGATTGAGACATAGGATACCTTTTATCCCGAAAAAACGTCAAGATTCCTGTGGGATTCTAATAAATCTAAAGGTAAAGTAAAGGGCGGCAGCTAGTACATAATATAATGATCAGCCTTCTATTCTTATGTTTCCACTGCTAAGACTTTTACGATATACATTCCTCATGTTTTTAAGACATACAAAAAACAGGCCATAGCCTGCTAAATTGTCTTACACATTTCTATTTGTACTTGCGGCCGCCCGTGACTTCATTTACATTAGCTTTAGTTTTTTTTTTAATTCCTCAAGAACGTCACACTTTTTCGAGATGAAAAGTATCCTATATCTCAATCCAGGTCATAAACTATATGTGTACCACATTCAAATCCGTATAGTGGTTTAGACGTGAAAAGGTAAAAAACAAATTCACTTTCGCATTTATAATATTAGTAAGGAATAACAAAACAACAAGGTCTTACTGACACCAATAAAACAGGGAGCTGCTTTATGTTCAATGAGAGGTCATTGTACAACTTTACATTTTGAAAGACATTTACATACTTTCACCACGATAAGTAGAGTTTGTATGGCTGTTTATAGCAAATCTTAGGTGCACACAGACTTATAGAAAGTTTGCGTGTGTTTTAGTAAGCTTTACTGTACCCATTTATTAATGTGGCAAAACTGAGGGGTTTCGAGTGATGCCACTACGTTGGAGAATGGGATATGGAATAAAAACGCCTATCCTTTGAAATTCCTATGCTGCGATATTTAATACCCTAGATACAACAACAAGAACTAAATCGTGGCCGAAATGTGTCAAAGGGACAGATTGGACGATCCACGAGCTCCGTAAGATGATCGCATAGTCAAAAACAATTTAAGGCATTATTTAAACATTCAAAGTCGCATTACAATCATTGTAGCAGTAAGGTCTTATTTTAAATGCACACTTCAAAGAGTTATGACAGTGCGGAATGCGGGCTTGTAAAATTACGACCTAATGCTATAGGCGGAAGAATATTTTAGACTTTATTTATATGACTCTACGCGTAATTCTGAATGAGCTGTTAGCAATATAGCAGGTACAGAGCGCGAGGAAAAGAGACGGCTATATAACCGACCACGGATTTGAATATCACAGATATTTTCTATTAAATCAGTTAATACTAAGTATTACAACAAAATATACTTCCAATGCGTTAAAATAACAAACATAAGTTTTTTTTAATCTTTTCAGGGAGCTCTGCGGCATCTTGACTTTTGAAGGGTCCGCACGTTCACTGTGAACCAAGAAGTGCGTGAGTGGTGTTGAAGCACTTCTTGATTGGGACACATTTGAGCGCACGTGGTGTATCTAGGGTTTTTAATATCGTTGTGCATAAGAAAAGAATAGATATTAAAATAAAATTACTGTAATCCTATAAATCATTATACGATAATAATGCCTTCAATACTAATATTACATATATAAAATATACATAAACCATAACCCAAGACGTAATAATTAAAGTAATATAAAATTGTTTTCTTTTCTTAAATATTATTTGACTGAGGTCGGTGGAACTGCAGAGAAGGAATAGCTGGTTTAGTCCTAATAGAGAATGATTGTAGCCTGCCATAAGATGAGACAGGCTATTTTGTCCTTTTCCATAAAATAAATACCAAAATGTAAGGATTGTGTACTTACGAATTGCCAAATGTTAGCAGTGACATTCCCAAACATAGCAGTCACATTAAACGTTAGGTAACACGTCATCAGAACGAATTTGCCGCCCAAGAATCCTTCTTGAATCGGCTCGATATCTGAAAGAAACATGGGTAATAATTAAAATAAAACGAATACTAAGAATGCAATTTTCTATATTAAAACAATAATTCAGATACATATTATGCTTTTACATTATTTATTTTATAAAATAAACCAAATAAATATTTAAAAAGAGATAAAACATAACCAGCCAAATGCGAGTTGGACTCGCGCACGAAGTCTTTCGTACCAATATCACTTTAATAGTTATACTTGAATATTTACTTTATTTAAATTAGTAAACTTCTTGTTTTCTTGTAATCTACCAGCAAAGCTATATTCCACATATTTTTCAAAATTTTAGACGCAAAGGTTCGGAGATAGATGGGGGGGGGGCATGTCAATTTTCATCTATTTTCATAAATCATATTTAAACTCTTAACTTTATATATATTTTTTTAAATGTAAAGTTTCAAATTGAGCCTTTCATTTGATATAGAATGCAGTATAGTTAGCTAAATTGTATTTTTTTTATATTTTGGACCTATTTTAAAAATTTTTTGGTCGCAATTTCAACTTGATTGAACCATTAGGTTTCGAGCAAATCGCCTGTGACAATCGAGTAATCCTATAAGGGTTCCGTTTTGCCGATTGAGGCACGGAACATTAAAACTACGGTGGACGTAAAATTTCAAAGAAATAGTTTGTTGCTATCGCTATAGCATACGATTTAATTTTTTTATTTTGACCGCCGAAGGTTTTCATCAATTACCTCACGCTCATTTTCTTTAAAATTATTATTACTAATGCAAAAGAAAAAAAAAGATGGCAATTGAAATCCAGCAATCCCGTTAGGCGATTGGCCCCAGGAGTTTAAAATGGATTACATTAATAAAGTGCTGCTAATATAAACAAATGGAGATATAATATTTCTTGTAATTCGATAAATTACAATATTGAGACATTATGTCAATAATAAAAAATAAAAAAAATACTTTTGTAGCAAATCTTAGGTGCACACAAACTCACAGAGAGGTTGGGTGTGTTTTAGTAAGCAATACTTTACCCACTGATATATAGAGGCAATTACCGAATTGTCTAGGTTTGCCACTGCGTTGGGAAGTGGGAGAACTTATAATAATAAATTTCAAACAGGAGCAGCAATTAAAACCAATCACCTTATGTAGGTATTTTTGCTTAGTTCAAGTTATATTAATGAATTTGTGAATTTGTGATATATAGTTAACTACAGCAAAAAATTCATAAGCGCGATGCAGGTACACATCCAGGTAAATTTCTTGAGCAACGACGATAGATATGAAAGCCTGTGCAGAAAGGAACGTCGTTCTAATAAAATAGAATTTATGTTTAAATATAATATAACTCACCTGAATGAATGGCGGGGAATACGGCCAACGACACGAAGAACACGATGAATATGTTGTACAGTTGGACCCAGGCCTGAGCGAATAGGGTCCCGTACGGGATCCTGGTTCGGGCCGGGCCGATGGTCTGGTTGGTGGCAGCCAGAGCCGGGTTCACGAGTAACGTCCTCTGTTGCAACGTGTCGTGGTAGCGATAGAATCTCTGTGTGGGGAAATTTATAATGTTTTTCTTTGTAGTGGGAATAAACAGAATTTATAAAATAACTTATGCTTCTTCATAACGTCGTAGCTTTCTTAGTGGATGGAATAGTGAGATTGAACCACTCAGAATGTTCCAAGTTCAGACACTGACTTAAAGCAAATAAACAGTGTTGAATTATAATGTTGCGATCGAAAGGAAAGTAACATCATTTCCTTTAAGCAAAATTGATTCAGTTGACCTCTCGGTAGCTGTGGGCGTTTTTAGAATAACAATGCGCGATAATGATGCCAAGTTTGGATGCGCGCATTCGATGCTACTTGGTACCGTTATTGGATGCCGATGCCATCTAGATTTTGTCAACGTAACTATATCTGTTTCCTGGCAAAACTCTGTCGAAGGCGATACGAGAATTACAACTTTATTTCGACGACGAAATATTGCCGTTTGTCTTGGCAATAAATGGTAAATGGAATGACCCGACTGAATGGTGGTAACAACATTCGAATATGTATCCAGTTTTGGCTACAATATATCACACTAAGTGTAATATTGTCATCACAACTGTTCCGTGTGTAAGAGTATTTTCCAAAACTGGATACATATTTAAGGACCGTCGTGCACACCTTTAGGCAAAAAAATATAAATCGCAACATCGGTGCAACTAAGTCAAAACAGGACATTTCGTAATTTTACACGAGCGAACTTTTAAGTTTTTTCCGAACTAATTTTCTAATTTCCAGATTCCTATTAACTGTAACTTAAAAAGCTCGATGAATCATATTGTTTGATATTTTAGTAACTGTTGCATGTGAAAAACTTATTTTGATTAACTGCAAAAATGTAAATAAAATGCTGAAATATAAATGTGGGTATTTACCTTTAAGTTTTTTGACTTTGTAGTTCCAACTATAGTAAAAACTAATAAAAATGTTGACCAACAAAGCGTTTTTATAATCAGTGACTTTGTAGCTCCAAATTATTTGGCAAAAATTATTGAAGTAATAAATTCATTTAAGCCTATGTTGCACCAATATATGAGAATAAAAATGCTCACAAATACCTTTATGCAGTTGTATCTCCAAGACACGACTAAATCACGCGGAGGCGCGAGCGCCACTAACCAAAACCGTTGAAAAAGAAATGAGAACCACAAAGGCACAGGCGCCATCTAGCGGAAAATTCAAAGATTTTCTCTGCTGGCTTTGTTTCCCCAAACGAAGGCATGATTTTTATATAACTTGGCATCATTAAGGCCGATCCCAATATTCAATCTCAATCCGAAAACTCCAATCGTAGATTGAATTCTTAATCTTTGGATTGCTTAAAACGTTTCAACAATCAAAACTACACATTTACAGATTAATTTGTATATGAAAATGGCATTTTCGGTGTTTCAATATCCAAACTGCTATTTTTGACAAACGATTTGTTAAAGGTAAATTATTTCTTGTTTTTGAATGATTATCATAAATTTGTAATAAAATTAGCATTGGTTTGAAAAAATGCTACTCGACGATAGGGATAGAGATTTTGAAATATTTAGTTTATGAGGAATAGGGCTTAGCGCAAAGATTCAATTTGCATATTCAAATATTTTTTGTATCAATTAATTATTGATTACATATTTATTTATACCTTGATGTGGCAAGTCCCCATGGTAACGCCCATAAACATATCAAATATGAAGGTACATTGGGCCCGATTCTAGCATGATTCTAATCCTTAATTGAAATTCACCAAGGATATATAATTTTATTGTCATACGTAAAGAATGAAAAGGAGATACTGTTGTCAAGTTTAGAGAATCATGCCAGAATCGAGCCCGTTGCGGAGGAATGGATTGGATGAAGCAAGGGTCAACGATTGCAGAGTTTTTATCCGAATTAAAATATATATACACCTATATATGTTGGATAACTTTATAAAATGACTGGTGTAATAAAAACTGAGTAAGTCAAATCTAACCTACTTTAAGATCTCGCATTTTTAAAAACAGCGATTGTTATAAGTATTCAATAAAGCAAAGAAATAGAGTTTAATATTTGTTCATAATGTTAGTTTGTTCCTATAAATACATATTTGGATTTTGCATAGAACTTGGCACTCATTTAGATCGCCATTCTTTTTGCGGCTAAGCCCAAAGTCAAGCATAATTTTGGTATTGAACTTGGCTCTCCTTTTTTACATTTATGTTTTTGGTGGGATTACCTTTTGTAGATCAATAGAATTGGTGCCGCAATTATTTCCAACTAGGCCCTGGAATTTCGACAGTAATATAATAATTCTTAATCTGGGGTATCGCATCAAGTTTGTTATTAAAAAAACTTATAAGTAACAAAATTCAGCACTTAAATCAATTGGAGTGTCATGTGAAGTAATTTTTAAAAAGTATCAGCATTTTATTTATGATAGAAAAATAAATCGTTTTGCTCTGTTAATTGTTTGTATACTTCTTAATTGTCACATTGCAAAATGACTTATGGGTCAATACAACAGGTCATCAGAAGAAGACATGTCTGCAAGCAGCAGTCTGCGAGGTATGTAACTTTCTATTAAAGTTTAAATTTGACAATGGTATGAGCATGAGCAGTGAACAAAAACAAGAGTAAATGCTGCGGCAGAGGCCAGTGAAACAACAGAACTAAATTTCACTTTAGAAGATATTTGAAATATTATTAGTGTGGAGGCTAAGGACTGTATTTTAATTATTATTAGAGAAAATAAAACAGTGGTGGCAGTGACAAGGTAAAACAATCTATTTTAATGTCAAAGAATAACAAACTCAATAAAAAAAGTATCAAAAACTCATAGACAAAACATAGTGATATAAAAGGTGCGCTATCCGGCACATGGTCCCCTTTTTTTTTTAAATTGGAAATGCGATCAGCTTCTTAAGAGGCCTTCGCAGGATTCCTGATGGAGTGGAGACGTCTGCTACCCGAATTACACCATCCTTCCCTGGGTAAACGGCTGAGATCCGACCTCTTGGCCACGATGACCTCGGTAAGGTACCATCGGCGATGATAACCACGTCGCCGACTTTAAGAGTTGGTACATTTCCTGGAACTCGCCTCGGACAAAGAGTTGGCAAATATTCTTTAATCCACCGTTGCCAGAATATGTCGGCCATTGCCAAGGTTCTGCGCCAGCCTTGCCTGCTGCAGAGATCTGATGGCTGTAGTGATGCAGGAAATGGTCTACCGGATGATGAACCCAGGATAAAGTGAAGAGGTGTGAGGGCTTCTTGATCATTAGGGTTCGTAGGAACGTGGGTTAAACCCGAGAGAGCGAGCCGTGGGGCGAGAATTCACGATCGCCTCTACTTCACACAAAAGAGTGAAAAGCACCTCATCAGATGGAGTTCTGTCACCAAGGGAAATTTTCAATGCTGTCTTTACTGATTTGATCAGCCTCTCCCAAGCTCCTCCCATAAAGGGTGCTGAAGGGGGTATAAATTTCCAGCGAATTATTTCAGATGTTGCGTAATCGGAAACCGCTTGGCCGTAAAGTTGTTTCAGTTGCCTATTTGCTCCGATGAAAGCAGTACCGTTATCGGAGTAAATTTCAGACGGAGTTCCACGACGCGCAATAAACCTTCTGAGAGACATAATAGCAGCATCTGTAGACAGGGAATGCACTATTTCTAAATGTATGGCTCGAACAGTGAGGCAAGTGTATAGAGCCACATACCTCTTCTCGCGTCTTCGGCCGATAGAAATCGTAATAGGGCCAAAATAATCTAACCCCACGAAGGAAAAAGGTCGTTTGTGGTGGGCCAACCTTGCTGGAGGTAAATTTCCCATGACAGGTCGGAAAGCTGAAGCCCGACGTATTCGGCAGGGCTGGCATGCGCGTGCTACGGCTCGGACAGTGTTTCTGAGGCTCAGGATCCAGTATAATTGTCGTAGCTCATTGATGACTGTCTCATTATTTGCATGGGCCGTCTTCCGATGGTAATGTAATACAAGAAGGCGGACAGCGTGATGGTTACCATCCAACATTATGGGAGACTTCATTTCTTCACTTACACCGAAGGCTGCCACAATTCGCGAGGATAAGCGGAGTAAGTGATCTTCATCGTAAGAACAAGGTAATTTTGAAAGGCGACTTCGAGGTGCAGAGGTCTGCCCATTTCTAATATTTCTTAGGTCTTCAGGAAATGAATCAATCTGACTTTGACGGAGAATATGTATTTCAGCAAATCTGAGGCCATCTGCTGTCAGAGTGCTCTGATCGCACTGATTCCGTGAAGTTGGTGTCGATGGAAATGGAACGAAGTCGAAAAAGGATTTGCTTACTCTACATGAATAGTCTACGCACAAACCTCTCTTTTTCAAAGCTTTAATGCGCAACAAGAATAAAAAGCGATGAGCTTGGGCCGTAGAACGGAGTAAACGGGTCCAAGAACTGAAGCGTGATGAGTCTGCGGTAAGTGGAACGGGACAATTTTCTTCTACAGTGAGATGAATATAAACTTTTGGAGTAGGCTTACTTTCTAAGATGGGACGGACTATCGCTGGCTCAATAGGCCAATCGGAAGTCAATAAAAATTCTGGACCTTTGACCCAGCGCGAATCCTTATCAAGGGCTCCCCGCTTGAGGCGCGTTGCGTCATCAGCAACATTAAGATGTGTAGGAACCCATCGCCATTCACAGACATTGGTAAGTTCGATGATCTCACCGATCCTATGAGCTACGAATGGTTTGTAGCAGCGAGCGTCATTGCGGAGCCAACCCAAGACGTTCATAGAATCACACCAGAATAAGCGTCTTGTAAATTTATACCTAGTGCCCTCTACTATAGTACTAGCTAAACGAGCCGCTATTAAAGCCGCCTGAAGCTCTAGCCTAGGAATACTAGACGGCTTTAGAGGAGCTACACGTGATTTACTAGACACTAGTGAGAGTTGTATATGTCCGCTTGGGTATAAAAAACGATAGTATGCAACTGCTGTATAAGCCTGTTCACTGGCGTCTGCGAACAGATGCAACTCAATGGC